TCTGTCGATGTGAGTGGAATGTTAAAGTCCCCTACTATTATTGTGTTGCTGTCAACTTCTCCCTTTGGGTCTGTTAATATTTGCTTCATATACTTTGGTGCTCTTATGTTAGGTGCATATGTTTTAATAAGTGTTGTATTTTCTTGGTGGAATGTCCTTTTTATCAGTATATAATGCCTGTCTTTGTCTCTTGTTATCTTTTTTGTCTTGAAGTCTGTTTTGTCTGATATAATATGACTACACCTGCTTTCTTTTGCTTGCCATTTGCTTGGAGTATCATCTTCCATGTTTGTCTTTAAGCTGAGATGTGTCTCCTGGGGCAGCATTTTGTCTTGTCTTGTTTTTTAATCCATTCCAGCTACTCTGTGTCAATCTTTTTACATCTTTTTAGTATCTTTTTGGTATATGAGGGCTTAATTCTGCCATTTTATCCTTTGCTTTCTGGTTGTTATATATTTCCATTGTTTCTGTTTCTTTGTATTTCTGTCTCCCATTTCAATTTGATGACTTTTTATGTGATTTTCTCAGTTTTCTCTTTATTTATGATTTGTGACTCTGCTCTGATTTTTTTGTTTTATGGTTACCTTGAGGTTTGTAAAAGATCTCATAGATGATATAATTCTTTTTCTGTTGATAGCATCTTATTCCATTAGCCTATGCAGTTTCTTTTCTTTTCCTCTTCCTCTACTACATTTTTGTTGTCACAAATTATCATTTTTTGTTTTGTGAGTTTGTGACCAAATTGAAGTGAGGACAGTTATTTTTGATGCTTTCTTTCCCTTTATCCTTTATGTTATAATTAAGTGTTTACTAACCTCTTCTAATACAGAGTTCAATTTCCTGATCTGTCTATTTATCACTTCAAAGCTTGTAAACCATTGCCTTTTTGTTTTAGGTAGGAAGCCTCCTTTCAACATTTCTTGTAAGACAGTTCTAGTGGCAATGAACTCTTTCAGCTTTTTTTTGTCTGGGAAAGATTTTATTTCTCCTTTATATCTGAAGGATAACTTTGCTGGATAGAGTATTCTTGGATGACGGTTTTTGTCTTTCAATATTTTGAATCATTCCACTATCTCCTAGACTGTAGTGTCTCTGCTGAGAAATCAGCTCAAAGCCTGATGAATGTTCCTTTGTAAGTTATTTTCTTCTCTCTAGCTGGTGTTAATATTCTTAACTTGTCAATGACTTTTGATAGTTTTAATATTATATGCCTTGGAGAAAGTCTTTTTGTGTTGAGATAATTAGGAGTTCTGTTAGCTTCATGTTCCTGTATATCCAGTTCTTTTCCCAGGTTTGGGAAGTTCTCAGCTATTATTTCTTTGACTAAGCTCTCTGCTCCTTTCTCCCTCTCTTTTCCATCTGGGATACCTATTATCCTTAGGTTAGTTTTCCTAACTGAGTCAGATATTTCTTTTAGAATTATTTCATTTTTTAAAATCTTATAAAATCTTATTTCTCTCTCCTCTTCCACCTGAATCATTTCTAAATTTCTATCTTAGAGTTCACCAATTCTCTTCCATATGGTCTGCTCTATTTTTAATGCTTTCTATTGTATTTTTGTTCTCATTAATTGTGTTCGTCATCTCCAGAATTTCTGCTTCTGTTTTTTTAGACTTTCAATCTCTTTGGTGAAGTATTCCTTATGTTTATTAATTTTATTCCTGAGCTCATTGAACTGTCTTTCTGAGTTTTTTTGTAACTCATTGAGTTTCTTCATGACAACCATTTTGAATTATCTGTCAGTTAGATTGTAACCTTCCCTGACTTCAAGTATGGTTTCTGGAGAGTTGTCATTTTCTTTCTGTTCTGCCATGGTACTGTAGTTCTTCATGGTACTTAATGAATTTATCCTTTGCTGGTGCATTTATGGTAGTAACCATCTTTCTTATTTGGATAAGGCTTTGGTTACTTTGGTTCTGAGCTCCTTCTGGTTGTATTTGAGAACCTGCACTTTCTACTCTCCACTGTCTCTGCTAGAGGCATCATCAGTGTCCTCCTTGTGCTGCTTGTGCCTCTGAGGTTGCTGGTGCCTTGCTGCTTACAATGTCGCTGCAGTCTCAGGTGTCACCACTGTTGTCACCAAGCTGTGAGCACTTCTGCTGCTTCTAGGATTGCCTGGTTCTCGTGTTCCTTCATTGGGTCCCCATGGGCTCATATGCTGCTGCCCTGTGCACCCAGGGTTGTCTGTGGATGCTGGCACTACCATTGGAAGGGGTGCTGGGATCATGTGTGTTCCTGTCGCTGCCGGGGGCCCAGGGACCTGGTGATTTTTATGCAGCCCCCACTGATGTTAGAGCTGATTTCGGGGGTGCCACCAGTAGGGGCTGGGTCACAGGTTCCACTATGATTCCTGAAGCTTTAGGTCACAGATTCCACCTGCCACCACTGGGCAGGGGCTAAGCAGGGAATGAGTGTCATTGCTGGTCACTCATGCAGCATCTGTTTGCTGGCTCAAATCAGTGTGTTTTGAAAACTCAGGTCAGGGGGCTCCACTCCAGCTGGAGAAATATGTGGTTTGTATACTGTCTCCACTGTTGGAAAGACTGGGCCACTGCTGAGGGAGGAGGAGGGGGCTGGGTCCTGAATTCTTTGGACATGTGCTACACCTGCCACTGCTGATGGGATGCATGGGCTAAGCTGTTAGTGTCCTATCTGCCCGTGTAGCTTCTGTTTGCTGGTGCACATGTTGTATCTGTGTTTTGGACCGCTGCTGCCAGGGGAGGGGCAGGGGGCTGTTTCCCTAGTTCCACTGCCTCCCGGAGGTCCAGCCCACCCACCTTCATACGTATAGATGCATGGATCTTTCAGGCATCCTGTTGTGCTATGTAGGGAGTCCTTTGTTGATAACAGATGTCCAATAGCTTATAACTTAGAGGGGAAAGACAAGGGGAGTAACTCACTCCACCATGATGCTGATGTCACCTCCAGCATTAGTTTTAATGGCTGAATATGGTTTCATTTTATGGATATGCCTTAATGAATCAAATCTCTCTTTGTTGAGCATTTAAAATTCCCCCTATTGTAAGTAATATTAGAATGCATAGACACATGTATCTTAGCATTATGGTCTTATTACATTTTGAGAGTAAGTTTTCACAAAAAGATTTACTGGGTCATAACTTTGCATGGTTAAAATTTTCATACGTATTCGCATATTTCTCTAGAGAAATAGTTGTTTGTTTTTCTTACTTTTATAAGAATGGCTATTTTAATACAATCTCAGCATACAAAAGATGAATACTTTTAATCCTTACCAAATGATAGAGAATAAAATACGGCTCCCCTCTTTAAGGATGGAGATTCTATATCTATATCTATATCTATATCTATATCTATATCTATATTTATATCTATACCTATATCTATATCTATATCTATATCTATATCCACATCTACATATGTGTAAAACAAAAACAGAAAATAAGCAGTGAGAACATAGTAAAATTAGAATCCTTGTGCATTGCTTGCGGGAATGTAAAATGGTGCAACTGCTATGGAAAACAATATGTTGTTTCCTCACATAATTAAACATGGCATTGCCATATAATCCAGCAACTCCACTTCTGCATGTGTACCCAAAAGAATTGAAATCAGAATCTCAAAGAGATATCTGCACTCCCATGTTCATTGCAGCCTTGTTTACAATAGCCAAGAATGGAAACAACCTAAATGTCCATTGATAGGTGAAAGGATAAAGAAAATGTGGTGTACATATACAATATAATAGTTTCAACCTTAAAAAGGAAGGAAATTTTGACACATGCAGCAATATCAATGAGCCTTGAAGACATTATGCTAATTTTAATAGGCTAGTCACGAAAGGACAAATGTTGTATAATTTCACTTATATAAGGTAACTGGACTAGTAAAAATCAGAGAACAGAAAGTAGAATGGTTTGGTTTGATAACGGCAAAGGTGGGTGATTTTTCTTTGATCTCCCCTTATGTATTTGAGTACGACTACAATTGTTTCCTCTGAACCTTATGAGCATGTTAAAACTCTGTATTGCATAAAAACTGGGCATTGATTTTCAGTAACTTCATGCACTGAGGTTTTATTATTTCCTGTGTCTCTTACCTGATAATACGATATATATAAAAAAAGTCACTGCATGCAGTGCAAAAGCATTCATTCCTAATAACTCTGTTTATAGCATTCACGGGAGGAGATTGACTTCCCCAACAGCTGCAGCCTCTCACAATTCCAATTTATTGTTTAATAGGAGGTGTGTAATCTGAAAAGATATAGATAAATATTTCTGATGGAGCAGAGTTGGTGGAAAAGTAACCTGATACTTTGAAATAACCCATTTGCACAGTAGAAGATAATTATTTATCAACTATTTTTTCCCTATACATATTCAGAATATCTGATTCAATAGATTAAGGGAATAAGAGTAGTGAGGAGACAGAGCTTATTGCCAGAAATAATCATAAGCATAGTTTTCTTAGTTTTTAAGTTGGGTTCCATTCCATTCATTAATTGTGGGTTGCTGTGAATTTTATTTTGGATCATTTATTTTCATGTAAGATTTGAATAGACTATCTAGTGCTTGCTACTTATCTTCTGAAATTAAAGGACAACACTTACTTAAAATAATGCCTCACAATCTCCCCATGTGTGAAATCTCTCCATATAAACATGTGTGAAATGACTATATGGACCTAGGAAAATTAAGAAAAGAAAAAAGATAAAGAATACAGGAACCTATGGTTAAATGTAGAAAAATGAAATTTAAAGAAAGCTATAAAATGACTGTGAAATCTTTGACCACCCTATTTAGTTTGAATTCTACCCTCCTTTCTTTAAAGTATTTTATTTTTTTCACAGCATTTATCTCTTACTAAAGTACTAGATAATTACTTCTCTGCTATGTTGACTGTGTAATGTGTGTGTCCCCTCACTAGAAGTAAGTGGCAGGAACTTTTGTACGCTTTATTCGCTTATGGATATCTACCACCTAGAACAGCGATTTGTCTTTGTATTTATGGTGTGGTTTATTTGTGGTTTTAACTACAGATTTCATAATGATTAGTGCTTGTTTGACAATGGCATTTTTTGGGTGAAGTCCTTAAGGGCTTGTTTCACCTGCTGGTTCCTTAAGGTGTAAATAAAGGGATTCAGCATGGGAGCAACAGAGGTATTAAGTACTGCTATACCTTTGCTCAAAGCCACACCTTCTTTTGCAGATGTTTTTACATACATGAAAATGCAACTCCCATAAGAGATGGAAACCACAATCATATGGGAAGAACAAGTGGAAAAGGCCTTTTTCCGTTGCTGGGCAGAGGGGATCTTCAGAATTGTTCTAAGGATGAGTGTGTAAGAGAGAATCACCAAGGCCAGAGTTACCATGAGTGTGAATACTGCTAAGAAAAATGCCATAAGCTCTAGAAACTCTGTGTCTGTGCAGGCAATCAGCAGCATAAGAGAAGAGTCACAAGTGAAGTGGTCAATAATGTTGGAATCACAGAAATCCAGTTGGAGGCCCATGATCACTGGGGGAAAGATAATGAGGAAACCAGCCAGCCAGGAGCTGATTACAAGCTGGATGCAGATTTTGTTACTCATGATAGTTGTATAACGTAGAGGTTTGCAGATAGCCACATAGCGATCATAGGACATTACAGCCAGAAGAAAAAATTCTGTGGAGCCCAGAAGGATTAAAAAAAAAAACTTGTGTCATGCAAGCATTATAGGAAATGGTTGTGTCTCCTGTAGCAATGCTGATAAGAAACCTGGGGATACAGACTGTTGTGAATGAAATTTCTAGGAAAGAGAAATTCCTGAGGAAGAAATACATGGGTGTCTTCAAACAAACACTAGATAGTGTTAATATGATGATGGTCATGTTTCCACTTACACTCAATAAGTAAGTGAATAACATAAAGAAGAATATCACAGCTTGTAACTCTGGGTCATCCGTAAGTCCCAGAAGGATGAATTCTCTAACTGATGTCTTATTTGGCATGAGTAAACTTGGAAGTGTGTAGATCTGTAGGAAAAAATAAGAGTGGATGTGAACTCCTGATATGATTTCAAACACATTTGCAGTGCTTTTATTCTACACAAAGAACAATAATCATGCATTAACAAGAAGTGACAAAATAGTTATCCACCAGAATTGCAAATTCATCTCAGAATGTGCTCCATAGGGAAAAGTTAATCTGTGTTTTATTACCTTAAAAAAACAGATTTTAGGGACCGGCCCCGTAGCATAGCGGTTAAGTTCACATGCTCTGTTTCGGTGGCCCAACATTCGCGGGTTCAGATCCCAGGTGCAGACCTAAATACTGCTCATCAAGCCATGCTGTGGCAGCGTCCCATATACAAAACGGAGGAAGATTGACATATATATTAGCTCAGAGACAATCTTCCTCACCAAAAGAAGGAAAAAAAACACAGATTTTAATCTCAGTTTTGATAATTCCCTGCTATATATTTTTGATTACTTATTTAACACAATTAAATTGCTTTTTATGGTTCATAAAAATAAGTAATAACAATAAATACTTAGATTATTTCATTATGGAAGTAATTCATTTGGGAAGATTGAACAAGTTATTGAAATACATAACATTTTTGAAAACTTAATGCCCATAAAATTCTATATGCTAATTTTGCCATTGGAAAACTTATTTTTGAGTCAGAATACAATCTTTTTCTAAAGAAGTTTTGGTTTCTATTCATAGTAAAAAATTAAACATAAAAGACTGTATTTTTGGCAATTCATTGAAATTCATTCCCTTTTGCATTTAGGCAAAATTGACCCTATGTGCTCCTCTTTGACTAAAGTTAGCATGAATACAATGCCAGCCTTTTTAATAAACAAGGTGATAGTGTAAAAGTTCTAATTGGACTTCTTAAATCCAGTCAATCATATAAACAATGAAAGAAATCAGATTATTTCCTGTAAGATTAAATATATTATTTCAGGAAGTTGTTGCATAACAGCGTTTATCAAGCTCTGCATTCAAAAATAATAATCTGATAACTTTCATGTTTATCAAACTCTAGTTTTTGATGCTGTTATAAGAAAGGAAATATAGTGGGAGGAAGATAATAACACCAGCAATAATATCAATAATTAATCATATAACAAAATATAATGATTTATTAGTTTTATTATCATCATTATTAATATTGTAGCAAAGATCTAAACAGCCTTTACGCTGTGCCCAAAAATGCTTTCTAGAGGTCCTATTAAGAGATTCATTTAGCTATTCGGGGTCTTTTGTTGTTCCATATAAATTTTAGGATTCTTTGTTCTATTTCTGTGAAAAATGTTGTTGGAACTTTGATAGGGATTGCAT